TTGCGAGGATGGCTCAATCGAAACGGGCCGGACCACCTCGCGAGCGACATCTTGGAGCTCAATATTGGAAGGATGTCTCAAACGAAACGGGCCGGACAATCTTTCGCACACGTTTTGACAAGTCCACATCGCACTCGCTTCCCGTTAGGTCCTCTCCTGCAACTCCCTTCCTTCTCCCTCCTCCTCCTCCTCCTCCTCCTCCTCCTCCCCCTCCTCCTGCCTGCTCCCTCATGCACATCATCCGCCTCCTCCTTCTCCCTTCCATCTCCTTCTCCTTCTCCTTCTCCTCCTCCTCCTCCTCCTCCTCCTCCTCCTCCTCCTCCTCCTCCTCCTCGACCTCCTCTTCATCCCGAACGGCATCTCGGAGCCTAGAGTTGCGAGGATGTCTCAGGCGAAAACGGGCTGGACCACCTCGCGCGCGGCATCTCGGACCCCAGAGTTGCGACGATGTCTCGGGCGAAACGTGCTGCGAGGAAGTCTCAGGCGAAACGGGCCGGACCACCTCGAGCGCGGCGTCTCAGAGCTCCGAGTTGCGGGGGCCTCCTGCTGCCTCCTGGGGCCTCCTGGGGACCTCCTGAGGCTTCCTCCTGGGCCTCCTGTGGCCTCGTGAACTCCACCTGGGGGTTCCTGAAGCCTCTTAGGGCTCCCAGGGGGGATATCTAACCTGTGGCCGTTTGGGCCTCTCCAAATGGAGGGGGGTGGCACAAGAGCAGGAAGAAACAACGAATCGACACCGGATGTATATTAACTTGACACGTTCTGATAGGCGGCCTCCTGGGGCCTCCTGGGAGTCTCCTGGGAATCTCCTGGAGACCTGGGGCCTGTCCTGGGCGTCCTGCGGCCTCCTGGTGCCTCCTGGGACCTCCTGGGGACCTCCTGGAGCTTCCTCCTGGGCCTCCTGTGGCCTCCTGAACTCCACCTGAGGTTTCCTGAAGCCTCTAGGGGCTCCCAGGGGGGATATCTAACCTGTGGCCGCTTGGGCCTCTCAAAATGGAGGGGGGGCACAAGAGCAGGAAGAATCAACGAATCGACACCGGATGTGTATCAACTTGACACGTTCTGATAGAGGGCCTCCTGGGGCCTCCTGGGAGCCTCCTGGGAATCTCCTGGGGGCCCCTGGGGCTTGTCCTGGGCGTCCTGCGGCCTCCTGGACATCTCTGTGGCCTCCTGAGGCTCGCAGGGTTCCATGGAGGATATGCAACATGTGGTCTTCTGGGCCCCCAGGCTGGACCACCTCTCGCGCAGCATCTGAGAGCTCAGAGTTGCGAGAATGTCTTGTGCGAAACAGGCCGGACCACCTTGCGCACGGCATCTCAGAGCTCAGAGTTGCAAGGATGTCTCAGGCGAGACGGGCCGGACCACCTCGCGCAGGGCATCTCAGAGCTCAGAAGTTCGAGGATGTCTCAGGCGAAACGGGCCGGACCACCTCTCGCGCGGCATCTCCGAAGTCAGAGTTTCGAGGATGTCTCAGGCGAAACGGGCCGGACCACCTCGCGCAAGGCATCGCAGAGCTCAGAATTTCGAGGATGTCTCAAGCGAAACGGCCCGGACCACCTCTCGCGCGGCGTCCCGGATCGCAACTTTTCGAGGATGTCTCAAGCGAAACGGCCTGGACCACCTCTCGCGCGGCGTCCCGGAGCGCAACTTTTCGAGGATGTCTCAGGCGAAACAGCCAATCCCGGCCAACTCGGAAACGAGAGTTGTGAGGATGTCTCAAGCGAAACGGCCAAAACCCTAAAATTTGTATGAGGATGTCTCTGCTCCGCCTTCCCTCGGCTGGAGTTAGCTTCTATCAGAACAGCACTCCGTTCAGCAAGCTGTTTGGGGAATCCACGAATCGACACCGCATGCGTATTAACTTGACACGTTCTGATAGGCGGCCTCCTGGGGCCTCCTGGGAGCCTCCTGGGAATCTCCTGGAGACCCCTGGGGCCTGTCCTGTGCGTCCTGCGGCCTCCTGGTGCCTCCTGGGGCCTCCTGGGGACCTCCTGGAGCTTCCTCCTGGGCTTCCTGTGGCCTCCTGAACTCCACCTGAGGTTTCCTGAAGCCTCTTGGGGCTCCCAGGGGGGATATCTAACCTGTGGCCGCTTGGGCCCCTCAAAATGGAGGGGGGGCACAAGAGCAGGAAGAATCAACGAATCGACACCAGATGTGTATTAAGTTGACACGTTCTGATAGAGGGCCTCCTGGGGCCTCCTGGGAGCCTCCTGGTAATCTCCTGGGGGCCCCTGGGGCCTGTCTTGGGCGTCCTGCGGCCTCCTGGACCTCTCTGGGGCCTCCTGAGGCTCGCAGGGTCCCAGGGAGGATATGTAACATGTGGTCTTCTGGGCCCCCAGGCTGGACCACCTCTCGCGCAGCATCTGAGAGCTCAGAGTTGCGAGAATGTCTTGTGCGAAACAGGCCGGACCACCTTGCGCACGGCATCTCAGAGCTCAAAGTTGCAAGGATGTCTCAGGCGAGACGGGCCGGACCACCTCGCGCAGGGCATCTCAGAGCTCAGAAGTTCGAGGATGTCTCAGGCGAAACGGGCCGGACCACCTCTCGCGCGGCATCTCCGAGGTCAGAATTTCGAGGATGTCTCAGGCGAAACGGGCCGGACCACCTCGCGCAAGGCATCGCAGAGCTCAGAGTTTCGAGGATGTCTCAGGCGAAACGGCCCGGACCACCTCTCGCACGGCACCTCGGGGCTCAGATTTTCGATGATGTCTCAAGCGTAACGGCCCGGACCACCTCTCCCGCGGCGTCCCAGAGCGCAACTTTTCGAGGATGTCTCGAACGAAACGGCCAATCCCGGCCAACTCAGAAACGAGAGTTGTGAGGATGTCTCGAGCGAAACGGCCAAAACCACAAAATTTGTGTGAGGATGTCTCTGCTCCGACTTCCCTCGGCCGGAGTTAGTTTCTACCACAACAGCACCCCATTCAGCAAGCTGTTTGGGGAAAAATCCGGACCTCCGACGTCGTGATGTTTGACGATACGTGGGCCCTCTAGCTCCCGACCCCTTCTCCAGGGCCGGCTCAACGTCGGTGGCCGTGCCTCGATGGCAAGAGGCCTCCAGAAGTCGCGTGTCCCCCCCAATGCCGAAGTCCTCCTCCTCCTCAAAATCACCTCCTCGAAATCCCATGGCACATCCCCCCACTGTCGCCACAGTGCAGTTACCTACTCGAGAGACGCTCGCTGAAGCACGGCGGCCAGGAGAGCAGCCGAGCGGGCTACTGGAAGCCTTCCTCGGGAAGAAGCGCTGGAGCGAGATGGCCAAGAGCGCAGCGCGTGTGCGCCGACCTAGATATAGCTCCTGAGATGTGCCAACAGGCACTGCATGTGCGGGGTAAACGGCAGGGCCGCCGCCAAAAAGACGAATTCAAGGGCGTCGCGCCCTCAACTGCAGGAGTAGCTGGCAAGTATTACCGCGCAGCGTCTTTCGAGACGCGCCAGGCCCAATCTCGGAAGCAAAACCGCCCCGAGAGGAAGAAGGAGGAGAGGCCGAGAGCGAAGGACGGGAGGGCACGAGCACGACCGCCATCCCACCACCATGCCGCCGGCGAGGACGCTGGCGAGGCGGCTGGCGACGCGGCCATCCTCGCTGCGCGAGGGCTGGGAGCAGATAGTGGTAGCGCGCACAGGTGGCCTCCTCCTCCTCCTCCTCCTCCTGATGCGTGTCCTCCTCCATCCAGACAGGCAAAGTGCACGGGCAAGGCACACAAAATGCGGTCGCGATGCCCTCTACAAGCCGCCGACAGCACCCTAAGCGACCATGCCGATTGCGGAGCAAATCGAGAAGGTCAGAACCTACTGTTTGAGACGCACGCTGGCAAAAATTGGCGCACGTGCCCTCGTTATGGCATGCGGGTTGGTCCGCGCCTCTACAGCATCAGACTCGAGCGAAGAAAAAATCCGGACCTCCGACGTCGTGATGTTTGACGATACGTGGGCCCTCTAGCTCCCGACCCCTTCTCCAGGGCCGGCTCAACGTCGGTGGCCGTGCCTCGATGGCAAGAGGCCTCCAGAAGTCGCGTGTCCCCCCCAATGCCGAAGTCCTCCTCCTCCTCCTCAAAATCACCTCCTCGAAATCCCATGGCACATCCCCCCACTGTCGCCACAGTGCAGTTACCTACTCGAGAGACGCTCGCTGAAGCACGGCGGCCAGGAGAGCAGCCGAGCGGGCTACTGGAAGCCTTCCTCGGGAAGAAGCGCTGGAGCGAGATGGCCAAGAGCGCAGCGCGTGTGCGCCGACCCAGATATAGCTCCTGAGATGTGCCAACAGGCACTGCATGTGCGGGGTAAACGGCAGGGCCGCCGCCAAAAAGACGAATTCAAGGGCGTCGCGCCCTTGACTGCAGGAGTAGCTGGCAAGTATTACCGCGCAGCGTCTTTCGAGACGCGCCAGGCCCAATCTCGGAAGCAAAACCGCCCCGAGAGGAAGAAGGAGGAGAGGCCGAGAGCGAAGGACGGGAGGGCACGAGCACGACCGCCATCCCACCACCATGCCGCCGGCGAGGACGCTGGCGAGGCGGCTGGCGACGCGGCCATCCTCGCTGCGCGAGGGCTGGGAGCAGATAGTGGTAGCGCGCACAGGTGGCCTCCTCCTCCTCCTCCTCTTGATGCGTGTCCTCCTCCATCCAGACAGGCAACGTGCACGGGCAAGGCACACAAAATGCGGTCGCGATGCCCTCTACAAGCCGCCGACAGCACCCTAAGCGACCATGCCGATTGCGGAGCAAATCGAGAAGGTCAGAACCTACTGGTTGAGGCGCACGCTGGCAAAAATTGGCGCACGTGCCCTCGTTATGGCATGTGGGTTGGTCCGCGCCTCTACAGCATCAGACTCGCGCGAAGAAAAATCCGGTCCTCCGACGTCGTGATGTTTGACGATACGTGGGCCCTCTAGCTCCCGACCCCTTCTCCAGGGCCGGCTCAACGTCGGTGGCCGTGCCTCGATGGCAAGAGGCCTCCAGAAGTCGCGTGTCCCCCCCAATGCCGAAGTCCCCCCCCCCCCGATCACCACCACCAACATCACCATCTTCATCATCCAGAGCGCCCCGGATCGGCGGCACTGGCCGGAGGCCACTACAATACCAAATCGGAACACCCATCCAGCGACGAAATTGGTATCTGCTGGTGGCGGGGTCCCCGAAAGCGGACCTGCGCGACATACCTGTACATGCGGAGCGCCGCCGCTGGAAGAGTCAGCCCGCCTACTCCGTGTCCTGCTGCACCGTCATGGTGCTGCTACTCTTCGTTGCCTCCTTCCTCGCCCTTGTCCGCCCTTGTCCGCCTTGTCGCCCTTCTCATGTCCTGCTTTAACATGTGGAGCTTTGCGGCCTCCGCGGGCATGACCGAGCAGACGATGTGGATCACTCCGATAATAATGAGTACGAGGAGGATGCCAGAGTCTGCAATGAAGCAGACCGCGTTGAAGGTTTCGATATCGATGTCTGTGTGCTTGGCAAGGGCGGGGATCATGACCACCTGAATGATGACGATCGCAAGAAAACAAAATGTCATGAGCACCACTTTGTCCAGCATCGTCAAGTATCCTAGTTCGGGGAGACACCCTGATACGACGAAAGTGTAGGCCACTGCTGTGAGCAGCATGGTGATGGCGATCGACATTCGGTCAGGCGCTGATTCGACTGGATCAAGAGCGAAAAGGCCCAGCGTGAGAATGTTGATAAGCAGCAAAATGAAAATCACGCGCAGCATGTAGGACGTGGGATCTCGCTTGAAGCAGCAGAACGCGCAAATGCGCCCTGACTGCTGGAGCAAACCCTGGCTTTGACCTTGAAATGTCCAGGAACCCTCCACAGCGGCGATGTCGATGTCCCCTTCGGGGGCAAGGACCTGCGTGCAGGCGTCGGCACCGCCGACGCCCACGAGCATTTTCAACTCCTGCACGTCGAAAGGGAAACGTTGGAGCTCCATCTTCTCGTGGAATGTCCCCCGCATATGAAAAGTCCGCGAGCAGAAAATCTGTCCATTCCTCTCCGTGACTTCGAGGGCATCCGAAGTGAGCTTGACAGCATCCTCGCTTTCGGCGTTCAAGATCTCAAATCCTGGCGGAAGCCAGGTAGGTTCCCAACCGGAAGGATCGATAATGCTGCGGTACACGTCCTCTGCTGGCGCAAGCCACAAATATCTCAGCTTTGCCTTGGCTTTGAATGACTGCTCAATCGTGTCAATTGACATGACCTCGTCGATGCCAAACTCGCACTGGACATCGTGCCTGGAACCATGCTCCCAGAGACCCTTGCCATGCATGAAAAACAAAGCCTCTTTCATTTTGAGATAGAGCGCCCCTATGTCCGTGCCGGGTACAAGATCTGGCGCGATAGGGGACGGAGGCGTTGCCCTGAAATAAAGCGAGATTGTGTCGAAACTGTGGCCGGTCCAATACCACTTCATGACAGAGAAATCGCTGTTGAAGCATATTTGACCAACCTGGTCGCCGTGGAACACCCTGAACGTTTTGTGGATGTGATCCACATCGCCTTTGTAGGTCTCTGTTTCGCTCGACATAAGCTGCCCGTCGCGATAAAATTCGACGGTCTCCGTCAGAGACATGTTTGAATCCTGCACCTGAATGGTGCGACCCGCAATTTCGCCAATTGCATTACAGTCATTGGCGATACCGTAGTAATTGCCGAACTGTTCCGGCCAATCCGCACCCGTGCTGGCGCCCGTTTTCGCAACGGATGCCCGCCGCATGGCGACAGACGGCGGCACTTCAATAATGCGCTTTCAGAACGGATGAGTATGCACTTGCTTCCAGGCGCGCGACTTGCCCGTAAATGCCCGTAAAAGCCTTGAGCCAAAATGGCTACGGATTGACATACTTCTGGGACAATTGGGACATGTACGGAAAATATCCCAGACTGGCTGTTTAGCACAGCTGTCATACTCAACATCATCATCACCAATCTCATCATCTCCACGATGACCCCATCGTCATCGTCACCGTCCCACGGCCACTGACATATTGGTCCAAATGTTAAACCCTATATTTTTGTCACCATCAACACCATTACCATTACCACTGTATAATTGACAGCCGTCACTGGCATCGTATGTCTTCCACTTTACGTAGTGTTTCTCTTCGCCGCTATAAGCGACCCCTGGGACAATGCAGCGGGGCAGCTTTGTTCTAGGCTGCTCCCCTTGTTCCCCGCATCCTGGGTGGGGTCTTGTTCCCAACCACCCTGTGGTGTTGGGTCCTCATTTTGAAGAGACAGCGCCCCGCGTTCTTCCTCCCCTCCTCCTTCTCCCCCTCCTCCCTCCTTCAATCATCATCATCATCACCACCATCCTCATCATCATCATCATCCTCATCCTCATCCTCATCCTCATCCTCATCCTCATCATCATTATCATCATACTCATCATCATCACCAACATCACCATCCGCATCCCCATCATCATCATCATCATGATCAGCATCATCAGCACCATCATCATCATCATCATCATCATCATCAGCATCAGCATTAGCATCATCACCATCACTATCATCATCATCATCATCATCATCATCATCATCATCATCATCATCATCATCATCATCACAAACATCACATCATCATCATTATCATCAGCATCATCATCATTATCAATATCATCCTCATCCTCATCTTCATCCTCATCGTCATCATCACCATGAACAAACCACCATCATCATCATCACCATCATCAACATCAACATCATCATCACCACCATCATCATCATCATCATCATCAACATGTCATCATCATACCACCAACATCATCACAAACATCACCGTCATCGTCATCATCGTGGCACGAGAGGGAGCTCCACCGAAGGTCCCAATCGCGCAGTTGGCATGCGTTTCCACCACCGCGTGCACCGTTTGGTGACCCCGTAGGGAGCTCCACCGAAGGTCCCACTAGAGCAGTTCGAATGCTTTGTGGCCCAAGAGGGAGCTCCACCGGATGTTCCAGTGGCGCAGTTCGCATGCGCCTCCCCCTCCCAATACATCGTTTCGTGGCCCAGTAAGGCGCCTCCCCCACCCAATACAACGTGCCGTGGCCCCAGAAGAAGCTCCTCCGAAGGTCCCAGTGGCGCAGCCCGCATGCGTCTCCCCCACCCAGTACAGCGCTTCGTGGCCCCAAGGAAGCTCCACCGAAGGTCCCAACCGCGCAGTTCGCATGCATCCCCCACCCAGTACCTCCTTTCGTGGCCCCAGGGGGAGGGAGCTCCACCGAAGGTCCCAGTGCCGCAATTCGCTTGCGTTGCCCCAACCCAATGCAGCGTTCCGTGGCCTCATAGGGGACGCCAGCGAAGGTCCCAATGGCGCAGCCCGCATGCGTCTCCCCAGCCAGGTACAGCGTTCCGTGCCCCCATAGGAAGCTCCACCGAGGGTCCCAATGGCGCAGATCGCATGCGTCTCCACCACCGAGTGCAGCGTTTCGTGACCACATAGGGAGCTCCACCGAAGGTCCCAATGTCGCAACCCGCATGCGCTTCCCGTGGCCCACCGAAGGCCCCAGGGGGAGGGAGCTCCACCGAAGGTCCCAGTGGCGCAGCCCGCATGCGTCTCCCCAACCCAGTACAACGTTTCGTGGCCCAGTAAGGAGCTCCACCGAAGGTCCCAGTGGCGCAGCCCGCATGCGTCTCCCCACCCAGTACTGCGTTTCGTGGCCGAAGAGGGAGCTCCACCGAAGGTCCCAATCGCGCAGCTCGCATGCGTCTCCACCGCCCAGTACTGCATTTCGTGGCCCCAGAAGGAGCTTCACTGAAGGTCCCACTGGCGCAATTCGCATGCGTCTCCCCCACCCAGCACAGTTTTCCGTGGCCCCAGATGGGGGCTCCACCGACGGTGCCAGGAGCGCAGCCCGCATGCGTCTCCCCCACAGAGTGCAGCGTTTTGTGACCCCATAGGGAGCTCCACCGAAGGTCCCAATGTCGCAGCCCGCATGCGCCACCCCCGGCCCAGTACAGCGTTCCGTGCCCCCATAGGGAGCTCCACCGAGGGTCCCAGTGGCGCAGTCCGCATGCTTGTCTCCCGCCCAGTATTGCGTTTCGTGGCCCAATAAGGAGCTCACCCGACGACAATACCCCCAACTGCGGTATTCTCAACTGCATATGGTTGGGTCCTTCGCCAGGCTAATTTTCGCTCGCCACCCCGTGCAGGAACCAGAAGAAGTCGCACACTCTATCACTGACATGATAGTTTTCATCACCACCATCATCCGCATCATCAGTATCCTCGTTCTCCCCAGCAACCACAATAATGCGAATAATCGCGCACTCACATCATCTCTCGCGCACGCTTGCCTACAAACTCACTCGCGCCCTTGCTCACTCACTGACTGTCGCACACACGCACTCACTTCCACATGCATCAATGTTGAGGGAATCTCGAGCGGAAGCCTCGTCCGTGAGCGAGCCGCGAGGAAGTCTCGAGCGCGAACCCCCTCCATATGAGGCCCGCACTTCGCGGGCCATCGAAATCCTGTAACTATCGTCACTCTTGGGCTTCAGGGGCGTCAATCGCGAGGATGTCTCGAGCGGGAGCCTCGCCTGTAAATGAAACGCGACAAAGTCTCGAGCGGGACCCCCCCTATGGCCCCCCTGGTCATGTTACTAATCCGAGGCGGCCATCCAAAGGCCTGAAAGCAACTGTCGTCACTGTTGGATTCCTGAAGCTTGAACTGCGAGGAAGTCTTGAGCGGGAACCTCGTCTGTGAGTGAATCGTGAGGAGGTCTGTGGCGGGGACCCCTCCTTATTGGGCTCGCACTTCACGTTGCTAAGCCGGGCGGGTCATCCAAATCCTGTACCTGTCGTGACTGTCGGGCTCCTAATGCTGGCTGGGGCCAGGGGGAAGTTTCGAACGGGTGTCTGGGAATGGCTCGCGCGGAAGTCTCAGGCGGGAGCCTCGTCTTTGGGTGAACAGTGGGGACGTCTCGAGCGGGAGCCCTCGGAGTGCCTTGGATGGCCGCAGGAAGCCCCAAGAGGCGTCATGAAGCCGCAAGAAGTTCCAGGCC